CCAAGTCCTATTGGCCAGTTACCTCTGGGCAGGAACAGGCCAGGTCCTAATTCATGCGGATAACAGGAATGTGCTAAAAAAAGGTGTGTGTGTGTGTGTGTTGACCTAAATAAAGGTGGATCTAATGCAACAGAGAGAGAAAAAGAGAGTTTGTGGACACAGCCAGAGACTTTAACACACAAAAGTTCAGTTGTAAAAAGAAAAAGACACTCAGTAATTTACATAGACCATGTTATGGCATACAATCCTCACAAAATTCAGTGGAAATTATGATTTACGGATGCTAGAACTACTCGTAGGAAGTGGTTTTGATAGCTAATTGAAGCTAAACATGGATTCCAGTATTGGGTCAGAGTATTGGTGATGGCTTAAATAAGTAGTGGACACAGCCAGAGAGTTTAACACAAAAATATAGTTCTATAAGGAATACAACAATCAGTAATTTACATAGATCATGTGAAAGCATACTATGCTAAAGTGAGTAATTATAGCCTAATTCTAACAATATGAGGCACCAAGCTGCCCTAAAGTAAAACAAGTCATGGTGCATTTTATACCCCTCTGAGTCTGAAATTAGACGTAAAGTCTGTCCCTTCTCCTGCATCTGTATTAAACAATCCTCCAGACAAAAGATTCTCTGATACCTTGAAGGAGGGAAGTACCTTTAAAATCTTTAATTGTGGAAAGTCACTAGAGAGTAATTAAGACAGCGATTCTACATATATTGATTTCCCCAACACATTTGATTAAGAACGAGGAAAACCTCTTCCCCTCCTCGGTTCCTGTTTAATTAAGGTGTCAGGTGTGTGAGCGTTAGGCCTCAGCTGCTGCTAATCCAATCCCCTCTGTAATAAAGACCGGCCTCGGACTCCATCGCTCATCCAGAACTGGAGCTAACTCGCCCGCCACCGGGTCTAATCCTCGGAAACAAAAAAATCAGCAGAGCTCGGACTGTGTTCTGCCTCTGTGTCCATCCCCATTTCTGGCATAGAACCGGACACGAACAGGACCTTCTGGCATGCTGTGCATAAGAATGAAGCCTTCCCTGAAGCACCAGAGGAGAGAAAATCCCAATCCGGACGCCAAACGTTTAAAACTCTGAGTCTGATAATGTGATGCTTCTTTTTGAGCCATGTAGCTCCTTATTTTATCTACAGGAACAAAAGAACACACGTTCCCGGTTTTGGTTTGGGTTTGTCTTTGGGTGGTGGACCATGGAGACGGAACTTCCCAACTACTGTTTCTGAAAGGTGGATTATTAAAATTTCCCCAGTTAGCCCGAGTCTTTAGTTGGAAGCCTGAGAATAAACCAGAGCAGATCAAGAGTACAAATATGACATTTATTGGTCACAAGCAGAGTAAAGCAGCTGGGCTCTCACAGACAAAAGCTCCCGGAGGATCTCAGTTAGCAAAGAGCCTCGATTTCCGGGTGTGATGGACAGTTTTCCTCTGGGCCTCCAACAGGAGGACGAGTGTTATTGGCCAGTTAGCTCTGACATGAACAGGCCAGGTCCTAATTCATGCAGGTTTTGGTGGAATGTGATAAGAAAGAGTGAATGTTGACATTAAAGAAGAGTATCTACTGTAACAGAGAGAGGAGGAGGAGGCACAGCCAGAAAGTTTAACCCAAAAGTAGAATTCTAAAGGCAATCATATAAATCTAAAAAGGAATAAGACAATCAGTTATTTACATGGTATGTTAAGTTATAGCATACTATGCTAAAGTGAGTAACTATAGCCCGGTTCTAACACCCCGCTCGGTTGAACGGGTTTGTCCGTCTGTTCATTTTTCGATAAAAGTCCCGTCTGAACGTGCCAAACGACTGTGGAAAAGCGCCGGTCCTGTGGACATTAGCGGTAGTGACGGATGGTAAACATCGTCCCGGTGATAAGAGGCCGTGAGGGAAGGGAATGAACGGCGTCGAGCAAAGTTTTCCCACCGAGTGGCGGCGCTTTGAATAATGAAACGAGCCTCGGGCAGAGTGCTTTTTTCTGTCTGTCAGAGTGCGAGCGGACACGACTCAGGTGCCATAATTCACGTCTGTGCTCCGTGGGGGGGGGGGCACAAACAAAAGGATTTATTAAAGGGGGACATATTATGCAAAACCAAGTTTTTAATCATTGTATTGTGTACATTTGGGACTGTGGAGGGCCTATCAGCAGGCAAAGTGTGAAAAAAAAATGACTCAGTTATGTTTTTGTGGGCCGCCTCAGTCTGAATCCAGGAGATAAATCAGGAGGTTTCAGGAGTGGGTAGTTTCTGACGTCAGAAAACAAAATAAGAACATAGAAACACAGAATGACACACACACTGAAAAAAAATATGGGAAAAACACCACAGGAACTGGAGGATGACCCCAACAAGCTGCCAGAATTATGCCTTTTTTTTTTTTT